CAGCACCACACTAGGACTCCATGTGAGGAGGTAGGTACACACACATGCATAGGGCAGTGGATCAGAGATGTATGTGAAAAAGCAGATACACACATACATTCGACCATGTGAAGAGGTAGATACACACATACACACATGACGGATGAGTATGTACTAGAAAGTAGATGTTGTTAAGTACTGTCACGTTGGTTCCAACCCACAGCGATCCTGTATAGGGTTTCCGAGGAGTGGCTGGTGGGTTTGTGGATGAGTATATGGGGAGGTAGCTAGTATATATGCACCTGCGAGGGGCCTTCGAAAAGTTTATGGAAAAATTCTGTTACGTTTCAGTTCCATTTTTCAACAGCAACTTTTTGAAGTCCCCTTGTGTATAGATGTGTGCATACGTGGGTGTCTGCAGACAGATAGCTGAGGTGGCCAGAACAAAGCCTTCATGAGAGAGACGTAGGCTGCCCCTCCCCTGCCCCCCCATCCTTGGGAATGGCAGGCGCAGTGGCCTGGAGGTGGGAGTGGGAATAGTGTTCTCGACTTGCCCAGGATCTTGTTAAAATGAAGATCAGACCCCATCAATCTGTGTGGTCCTGGGAATTGGTGTCTAACCAATTCCGCTCAGGGCTGATACTGTGGGTCCTCTGGCTGTGGTGAGGAGTGGGGTGCAGCACCCCCGAGGGGTGTCCAGGTGCTGACCTGGATCAATGCTCTTCTATAAATGCTGTTGGACCCCCAAGATGGCCCAGCTGGGTTCAAATCCTGAGTCACTGTGATCCTAGACACTTCAAATTCATGTCTCAGGCGCACAGCAGGACTTCGGGAAGTACTTGGGGGTCTCAGGGCTCTGTTCTACCCACTTGACATCATGGGCCTTGTCCCTCAGGTCCCAGGAGCTGCACCTGCGTCCTGAGGCCCACTCGTACCTGCCAGAGCTGGGCAAGCCTGAGGTGGAGTTTGTCGAGAGCAAGCGTCCCCGCCTGGAGCTACTGCCTGAGCCCCTGCCCCGGCCCTCAGCCCTGATGGCCTCAGCCCAGCCTGGTGGCTCTGAGGACCTGGCCAAGGTAAGACTGTCCCCCTGAGTGGACTTGCGGGGAGGCCAGGGGCTGGTGAGGCCAGGCTGGGACTCAACTTGGATGAAGGCTGAATGAAGGTGGGCTGAGGGATTGTGTTGAAGACCCTTAAGAGTTACCCATGCAGCTGAGTGGGTCTGCAGGGGCTGGTGGGAGCTCACCCCATCTTCTTTCTGGGAGCTACTTGTGGTTCTGGGTGTGAATCTACCCTCATAGTAAGTAGGAAGGGTGAGGAGGTCTTCCCCTTTGGGAACCTCTCTTGGTGGCTTCCTTTGGCCTGACTGCTCTGCCCTGAGTTTTGTGGTCTGGGAAAGCAGATACTGCCCTGGTGGGAGGGTCTTCCTGCCCTCAGTATGGGGGACACTGAGGTTCCCTCTGATGAAGGAGCCAAACAGGGAGGGAAGGTGCCCCTCCTCAGGCCTGTGGGGTCTTCTTGTCTGCTTTATCAGGTTGAAGGTGAAATTTCAGGCAGAAGCAGGTCTTCATGGGGGGCTGCAGGGAGAGGCAGCACAAGAGAGTGGTCTGCATGGTGGTAGCGAGCAGTTCACAGCCACCGACCCCCAGGACATTGCCTGCTCTGGTCCTGGGGTGCTTCCCTCTCCTGCCTGCCGTGTCCCTGCGTTTTTTGGCCAGACCCCTCCTCTTCTGACCCCCGGGGGGAGTAGGTGGTGGTGACCTTCTGAAATCGCCCCTGGGAGCTGGTCTTGGATGGGGGTGCAGGGTAGCCTGAGGCTGCTCCTTCCTCAGCATTGACACCCCACGGCTACTTCTCACACCCCAGAGGAAGGGCGCCTCTCTTAGCCAGTGAAGCCCTGTACTCCAGCGCCTCTGAGCCCTTGCCGGGACTCCCTCTGTGGGGCTCTCTCTCCCTTTGACTATGTGTCTGTATCTACCGGAGGAGGGAGTGTCTGCCTTTCTCTCTCTCTCTCTCTCTGTTCCTCTGGGTTTCCCCATCCAGGAAAATCATAGTGAACAATTTCACACAGGCATGGACGCATCAGGTGGAAAACATGTGGAACTACTCTCTCAGATTCGAAAGTGAGCATGAGTAAGCCCGTGCTTGTCTTGCTTCCTAGGGCCTCCGTCCCTGTCGGGTTGTATATTTGAAAAGAGACTTTGATTCTGTAGGAAGGTGCTTTGGGGTTGGGAGAGAGACAGATGCCAGCCATCCCTAGAAGCAGACTCTTTGATGTGGTGAAACCTAATACAACGTTTCCCTGCAGAATAGTAAGTAAGCGCAAGGGAGCTTGCTTACTGGGCGCTTCATTTCTCTGCGTCTCTTTTGTCTGTCTCCTCTTCCTGAAGCCCTACTGAGGGGAGCCCTTGGCCCAGCACTGGGGCCTCACTGGATTGGCCTCTATAATTACTTCAGGCTGTCTGAGAGCATTTGGAAAGTTTGAGAAAATTCTGGGCAAGCAAAGAAGCTGGGGGTTGGAACAGCCCAGGGAGCGTTCAGATGTGTTTTGCATCTGCTGGAAGCCTGAGACAGAAGTTTGAGGGGCCCTTAAAAGGGATCTTGCTCTGGTCCTTGAGCTCAGCCCCGGCAGCTCTGTGGGACAGATGGTTGTGTGGCGGGGACCCCGTTCTTGCTGTGGGGGTCCCTATCGCCTGACTGTGAGCTCTGCCTGCTGCTGAGGGGCAGGATCGAGGCCCTGTCCATCCCTTCCTGAGCAGATGGCTTCATCACTTTGTGTCTGAGGGACTCTTGGGCATATTATTGAGCTCTTCTGGGCCTCAGTTTCCTTGTCTGTAAAATGGGAGGAATTCATACCTCAGGGTAGTTGTAAAGATCTTGACATGGGTTCAGATTTATGAGTTTTCCACAAGCACAAGCCAAGTCTGGCCTCCTGCCTCTTCTTGTAAATTAAGTTTAATTGTCACGTAGCCCACCTAGCCTCTGTAGCTGATTTTTTTTTTTTTTTTTTTTTTTCTGGCCCGCAGAGTTGAGTAGTTTATGACAAAGACAGCAAAACCTAAAATATTTACTACCTGGCACATTACAGAGTTTTCTGGCCATTGCTTATAGGCCCCTGGGTTCCTGGTTTTCCCATCTGTGTCCTCAGTAGGACTGTGGGGACCCAGTGACGGGGTGTGGAATGCTGGAAACAGGTAGACCAAGCAGTGGATGCTACCTGACCCAGCTTCTAGGTGTGCCTGTCAAGAGGGTGTCGGCAGAAAACATGGAGGACCATAAGGGCTGGTTGGGGCTTTGGGGTCTTTTCTGTCTTCCCAGGGGGCTTTGGCTGTGGGGGTTCAGGAACCCAGAGCTCTGCCCCATTGTCTCAGATGGATACAGTGAGCCCAGGAGGCAAAACCCAGCGTGAATCCTCAGCCCTGACTGGGCCCTGGGGTTTTGAGCAGAGACCCTGGGAACAGGTGAAGAGACATAAGATGGAGTGACCTCAGCCTGGGGGGCGGGGGGGAAGCTGTGGGAGGGGGCACTTGGCAGCCCTCAGGACTGCAGTTGTCCCTGAGAATAATGTGGCCTGTGTTCTGCGGGTGGCAGCTGCCGTGGGGGCAGGGAGGCGGTGGCCTGGCGCCCTTCCTGGGGCTGCCTCCGCCAACAGCTGCCGGCTTGGCCCTGGTGGATGGCACAGGGCGGGGGCTTGGGTTACACACATGGTGCCAGGCCTGGAGCCCGGGTACTTGGGGAAGACAGTGACAGGCAATGCTTATTGAGTACTTACAGTATGCCACTGGGCTCCCAGCCCTGTGCTTTGTGCACATGTTAACTCTTCACACAGCCAAGCAACCAAGGAGGTGGGGGCGGCTTTATCCCCATTGTACAGATGTGACTGCTGAGGGAGGGAGCCAGGCAGCAGTTGGCTCGTGGTCCCAAAGCAAAGACATGGCAGGGATTTGAACCCAGGCTGCCAGGCCTCAGAAGTGAACGCCTGAGGGGGAGGACTGGGCTTCTCAGTTTTCTACCCCCCACCACTGGCACTGCCGCCTCCGCTCCCCTATACCCTCCCACCTAGCACTGCTGAATTCTCCCCCACACACCCGGCACCGCCTTCTTCCCCCACTCCCCAACACACACACACACACACACACACACCAGGCACCGCCTTCTTCCCCC